AAAAAAAAAAAAAAAAAAAAGAATACATGTCTGAAAGTATCTTTTATTCCAATCTCCTGCCTGGTTGGCAGGCTAGTGGGGGTCTTAAATAGGGACTGCTGATCTCCTATAGGAACCACTGTTCCCCTGGTTGCCCATCTTTTGACCTTCTAAAATTAAGATAATATTTATCTCTAAATGTAGTAGAAACTTGTAATATTGCTTGTCTCTCACTAGAAATCAATGTTTGATTTAAGAGCAACATTACATCTTTCTAATCTAGTTCATAAGTCTGAGTAAGTCCTCTAAAGACCTCAGTATACATATCAAGGTCATTTGATAACTTTCCTAGATCTTATGTGAAGTCACTGAGAGAAAAGGACACATGAACACAGGTAGTCCCATATTTACTTACTGTCCTTGAGGGGCTTGAACAAAGTCAGCTAAGGGTGGATATAATCCAGTAGCGGCTTCGATGACTGCAGCTGGTTTAGAAGCCTCGCCCTTAGGATCTGAAAGAGAAGTAGGGGAAACCTCCGTGGCATTGAGGAATTTCAACAGGATGGCCCCCAGGCAACGCACAGAAATCTTGGCCCCAGAGCGAGACACTATTTCAAGGTCACCACCAGGAAGCCAAGTACTGAGAGCTGACAGGATGATTTGAGAGATGCCAAGGCCACACCCAGGCTCCTGGTGTTAATGCAGTCATGTCTGTGCAGAGGGCAACAGGGAGGAGGAGACACAAAGCATCTTCCCCAGCTCTCTGGCTCCTGTGTCAATGCAGCTCATGTGGGCCAGCGACAGAGAATCTTTCTAGGAACCAAGAATAATCTTCAAAATCCAGGATAGAAAATCCTAGCTCTCCCCTCTTCAGTTCAGCTTGTCAGACACAATCTAATAGTGGTATTTCCCCTTTCCGCAAAAGACAACAAAGGAAGCTGTGTACTAACAACTTAACATCAAAATTCTACATTTTTGTAAAACTTGATTAAAAATAGTATTACCTCTAGCTGTTGAGTCATTGAAGGACACGGCTGTGGAAAATGGGCCCTTCACTTGGTTTCCCCAGTGCCTTCGGCCTCTTGTGACTCCACCGGGAGTCCTCCCAGTTCTTGGCAGGGCCACACCAGCCCTTGCCTCCTTCCGCTTTCCGCTTCCTCCCTGCGCGCTGCCTCTCCTCCTTGGCAGGGCCCTTCTCAGTCTTGGGATCTAGCTTAGGAGTAGCAGGTTTAGGGGGCAATCTCACTGATCTCCTCTGAGGCTCATCCTTCACCTTTGCTTTATCCCCTTTCCCATCTCCTTTTGCCTTTCTCTTCAGCATGATGGCAACAATGCCTGGAGGCTCACCAGCCCACCGGTGCTGCTTCCCCGCAGGCGGCACCCGGGACCTGCAGTTCACATTGTGAATGAAGCTGTGCTTTGTAATACATGAATAAAATGTAACACTATCTAATAAAAAAAAGAGAAGGAAGTATTGTTAGCAAAATTAAACTGATGTTGTAGTAGCTAAATCTTGGAAACAGCCTAAATGGCCATCAACAGACAAATGGATAAGGAAGATGTGGGTTTTTTAATACAGTGGGGAACTACCACTGCCATAAAGGAGGATGAGCTTCAGACATTTACAGCTAAATGGATGGACCTTGAGACCATACTCAAGTGTGAAATAAAACAGACACACCTTTAAATACCTCATTGTTTCTCTGGTGTGAGAAACTGAAAGCAGAAATAAGGACTAAAATGTTTGGAGAAATGGGAAGGGAAACAAGGGAAGAGAGAGGGAGAAAGGAAGGGATTGAAAAATAGAAAAAAAATGGCAACAAAGCTTTTGTGCATAGGAATGGGAGGGCAGGAGTGGGATAAAATTTAAAACGTTTTAAAAACAAAATTAAACTGATAGGAGATCGAAGCTATTGCTTTTTAATTCTCTGAAAAAGAATGAGCAGTGGATAAATTAGAGCACTTTTTAGCCTGGAAAAGGTCACCTCCAGAGATAGGGGGAGTCAAGGTAGTGACTTGGGAGGTTTCACCCTGGGCCCTAGGGCAAAGCTCCCAAGACCTCTGAGTTATTTGCCTAACTTCCTGGCCAATCCTCCTCAGCAGTAGGACAAGGCTGTTTTATTTAAAGCTTAATCGAAAACACTTGTGTCTCTGAAGTTTCACAGGTTAAACTTATACGCATAGCCTAGCAGTCACAATTCACATGTTAGTAAAGGCATATTTAACAGGTTCTTATGTGCACATGCATGTAAGAGAGAGGCCTAGTAAAGTCCCTTTTTTCTAGTTAGCATATAAAAACACAAATGCAAGTCGCTGATTGCTATTTTCCCTAGTATAAGACAAAACAACTGTTGCAAGTTGCCTTAGTCTGACCTCCTGGAAGGAGGAGCAGTCTGACTACAAGGGATTCTGAAGTGAACTTCCAAGTTGGAGGAAAGTTTAAGGGGAGTTTTTAACTCACTTAGCAGAGAGAAAAAGTTCAAAAAAATCACCACGTAGCATTCTACAAGTCTACCGTCAAAGTTCCAAAGTCCACAATCTATCACCAAACGCATTTTCCTCCCTACACACATAAATGATAAAGATCAGTCCTAGGAAGGGAGAGAGAAGGTTGAGGTAGTTTCTAATGTAACAAAAATTGGTTTTCTGTGTGTCTGCTTACTAGTAGAGCAGTCCAAACCTGTAGCTCAGAGGCCTTAAGAAAGGACTGACAGCATCGTTTCAGGTCATTCTGAGACCAAGCATATCTGATGATCACTGACAGTTTGCTGAGGAGTGCAAATAGCGACAACAGATATGTGTAGATTTTCTGCTGATTACACAATCAGGCTGTTGGGATCCAGTTTCTACTGAGGGAACTTTGGTTATCTGTCAGAGAATAGCCCTGGCCATGACCCCTCAGTTTTCACTAGTTCTGCCCAATCAGAGATCTGTCTCAGAAAGGAACCCAATTGCCCATCTGGTCAAAATTCCATCTGCCATTGGCTTCCATGGAAATGAGGATTCACCAGAGGACAACAGGAGAAACCCGTCCTCTGCTTTGAGAGTGGC